AATATTTCTATATAATAAACTATAAATAAAAAATAAACGAAATAAATTTGACAAATTTGCACCTAAAATAAAAATAATAAAATTTTAAACTTATTTAAAATATTTCTATATAATAAACTATAAATAAAAAATAAACGAAATAAATTTGACAAATTTGCACCTAAAATAAAAATAATAAAATTTTAAACTTATTTAAAATATTTCTATATAATAAACTATAAATAAAAATTAAACGAAATAAATTTGACAAATTTGCACCTAAAATAAAAATAATAAAATTTTAAACTTATTTAAAATATTTCTATATAATAAACTATAAATAAAAATTAAACGAAATAAATTTGACAAATTTGCACCTAAAATAAAAATAATAAAATTTTAAACTTATTTAAAATATTTCTATATAATAAACTATAAATAAAAATTAAACGAAATAAATTTGACAAATTTGCACCTAAAATAAAAATAATAAAATTTTAAACTTATTTAAAATATTTCTATATAATAAACTATAAATAAAAATTAAACGAAATAAATTTGACAAATTTGCACCTAAAATAAAAATAATAAAATTTTAAACTTATTTAAAATATTTCTATATAATAAACTATAAATAAAAATTAAACGAAATAAATTTGACAAATTTGCACCTAAAATAAAAATAATAAAATTTTAAACTTATTTAAAATATTTCTATATAATAAACTATAAATAAAAATTAAACGAAATAAATTTGACAAATTTGCACCTAAAATAAAAATAATAAAATTTTAAACTTATTTAAAATATTTCTATATAATAAACTATAAATAAAAATTAAACGAAATAAATTTGACAAATTTGCACCTAAAATAAAAATAATAAAATTTTAAACTTATTTAAAATATTTCTATATAATAAACTATAAATAAAAATTAAACGAAATAAATTTGACAAATTTGCACCTAAAATAAAAATAATAAAATTTTAAACTTATTTAAAATATTTCTATATAATAAACTATAAATAAAAATTAAACGAAATAAATTTGACAAATTTGCACCTAAAATAAAAATAATAAAATTTTAAACTTATTTAAAATATTTCTATATAATAAACTATAAATAAAAATTAAACGAAATAAATTTGACAAATTTGCACCTAAAATAAAAATAATAAAATTTTAAACTTATTTAAAATATTTCTATATAATAAACTATAAATGAAAATTAAACAAAATAAATTTGATAAATTTTCACCAAAAATAAAAATAAAAAATTATAAAAAAAACTCACATAAATCACACCACAATATTGTTGGATGGTATGGTGTAAGAGCATCAGTTTGAAGATCGTTAAAATCAGTTTTTAATTAAATTAACGATATAAATTTCAAAAAATCACCTCCATTAGTCTAGTCTGTAACTCGTCAAAATTTGTGTTTACAACAGTATCTCGCTACAACAATTGAGATATTGTTCATTATTACTTATGTGTTGCCGAATGTCTGGCTGGTCAACCGGTCAACGGTATTTTTATTTTTTATTTTTATACATTTCTTCTAGTTTTACCTTTACAAAGAAGCATAAGGATTGTTTGGCTAGCAGCTCATCAATTTAATAAAAAAAAGAATAACAAATATTTTAATATGATTGAGTTAAAATAAAAAGTTTAATATGATTGAGTGATTAGCTAAAATAAAAAAATGACCATTTTAATTATAATTTATGCCTTGTATGGGGTATCTTAAAAAAGTCAAAAAGTTATTATCCTTTTTAACTCACATCATCTTATTTAAATCACATCATCTTTTTATTACATTACTTCAATTTCAACCCACATTTTATAAAAAATTAAAAAATATATTTATTTAAATCATTATAAACTACCCCTTAATTAAAAATTTAAAGAGAACCGTGTGAAGGTACTAATAAAGTAGAGCTTTTGATAAGATCCCTATGGGATAAGAGAGCACAAAGACATTGAACTTGCCGAGCTTTAAGAGAACGAGACGTATCGTACGTATGCATGTATGTTTACACAGATACAGATCATACATATATTAGAGATAGAGAGATATATACAAAAACAGAGGGCTTTCGCTTCCTCTTTGCCGACATGGATGGGGTTGGGGTCCCCAACCTCTTCTAATGCTTTGTCCTCACTTGCGTCATCTTTCCTACTACCTCCACCACTATCTTTTTTGTTCCCATCCACAAAGGTTTAATTTTAAGAAGATTTATTTATAAATTTTTTTTTAGATATTTATAATAGATTAAATTTTATGTAATTTTTTATAGAGTCTTAAGTCTTATTAAAATAGAAATATATTTTATAAGATCCTACATAAACGTAACGTAATTTGTCACGTTATGTTTCGTAAATTTAATGAGTTTTTATTTTTTTAAATTAAATACGAAAATATTACTGATTTATATTGGTGTCACGTTACGTTTCATATAAATATGATCTATGATAACATTCAATTTCTTATCATAAATTTAAGTGTCACGTTACGTTACGTTTATATAAATATGATCTACGGTAACATGTAATTTCCTATATAGGAAATTACATGTTACCGTAGATCATATATGTCACATTACGTTTATGTAGGTGTCGCGTTACGTATAGGTGTCACGTTACGTTTATGTAGGTGTTTATGTAGGTGTCACGTTACGTTACGTTTATATAGATATGATTTATGATAATATGCAATTTCCTATATATGATTTTACTATTATTTATGATATTAACAACTAATATTGAGGGTAAATGTGTCAACAAGCTTCTCACAAGACTTATAGGAACATAAATTTTTAGTAGAACCATATGTAGCATAAGTCTCCCTAATAAGATTTATAAATAATTTTCTCTTAATTGTAATTTTATTTTTATTTAATTTGTTATTTTTTCCTATTTTTATCTTTAAACATCTAGTTAAAATTTTTACTGCAATTTCATATCGTTTTAGATATAAGGGCAAATTACATATACACCCCTCCAGGTTTGGTTAAATTACAGATACCTCCCTGAGGTTTCGGAAATTACATCCCGCCCCCTGAGGTTTGTATTTTCATAACAATTTACCCCCTGAGGTTTATATTTCATAACAAATTACCCCCTAATTTCTTATGCAAATATAGCATTCAGGGGGGAATTCGTAATTTCTCAAACCTCAGGGGGGTATCTGTAATTTTGTCAAACCTGGAGGGGTGTATATGTAATTTGCCCTAGATATAATCTGTTCTAGAGTAATACTTTAAATTGGTTAAATTATATTTTGCCCATATTGAACCATTTTTCCACTTTAACCTTTGAATTTTTTTTTACCGAAGTTTTTTATGTTTTAAATTTTTGTACTTTCCTTTTAAAATTAAACAAAATATGCCACACTAAGTGACATGTGATATAAAAATTATATTATTATGTTGAGGTTTGAATTTGTATCAAAAGTGTAAATACAATTAATCAACATATTAACTAATTGATTGTGATAAATTGGTTTAGATTTTGCAATTTGGGTTTGCGTAAAATGAGAGTAATACATATAATAAAATATTTTTATAACATGTGGCTATTAGTGTGTTATTTTCTATGTAATTTTGGACATAACACTTTGTTTGTTTTGGCAGAAAATATTTTCTGAAAAAGATTTTGAGAAAATATTTTTTATAGAATTTTTTTTTTCCGAACTTTTTCTTATGTTTGGTTGTTTTCTTAAAATTAATGTATTAATGGTTGCATTAGTGATAGTGGTAGTGATAGTGATAAAGTAGAAGTGTGGGGGGTCGTAGTGGCAGTAGTGGCAGCGGCAACGGTAGTGGTGTAATAGTGGTGGTGGTGGTAGTAGTAGTACTGAGGTAGAGATGGCAATGGCAATGGCAGCTACAGTGGTTGTGGGACGATGGAGGTGGTAACAGCAACATTACTTAAAGTGGTTGTGGCTAGAAGTATAAAAACAACCTGTGGACCACCTGAAGCCCACCTTCAGCCTAGGTAGGCTCGACCCGAGTAGGCCTGAGCCCGAGCCCGAGCCTGAGCCCGAGCCCGTCTGGGTCTAGGCCTAGGTTATGTGTTTTGGAGCTTGACCCTACCTGTGAGCCCGGTCCATTTGCCTGCTCAAGTCTCACTCAAAGCCTGGCCTGTCCAAGGTACAGTGTCATTTTTGGCGGAAAAGATTAAATCTCTGGTGAAAAAAATAGAAAAAAATGTTTAGGCCCACCCAAGCCCGAGCCTAGGCCCAAGCTTGTCGGGTCAGCTTGCGGGCCGTCCAAGGCTTGATTACTCCCTAGACTTGGGCCTAATTTTCTGGCATATAAGCCAGCCTTGTCTGGTTCGAATTTTGGCGGGAGCCCGCGTTGCCCGACATAAGCCGGCCCAAGCCCAGACTGGGCCAAATTTACATCCCTAATTGTGGCCTTGGTGGTGGTGGAGATGATAGCAGTAGTGTTAATGTAATGGCACTGATAAAACTTTTATTCGGAAAACTTTTTTCGCCTTTTAAAAGTGGAAAACATTTTTCGCCTTGTTTTCTATTGACCATGAAAAACATTTTCGGTTGATTGTTGTTTTCCGTTGTACTATATGACAGAAAATGTAGAAAATGTTTTTCGCCCAAATAAGCTTAAGTTAGCTTTTAGAGTGAGTTGGAAAAAAAAAAAAAAAAAACATGAAAGAAAAATGAAAGGCAAAATTTTAAAAAAAAAAAAAAAAAACTTTAAAAGTCAAATAAAAAAAAAAAAAAAAAAAAATCAAACTAAACGTTAGACTTACTCATGCGGACTGGATTTATGGGCGGACTCCATTTACCAACTTTCGTTTAAAATCCTAAATCATCTTTTATGAGTTAGGACAAACTGGATAGTCAAGAGAACTGAGATGAGCTATGGAATAAGTTGGTCTAGTTGAATAATATCGAGTATTTTGTCTGCAGGCCAGTTAAAGACCCCTAAAGGTAACAAAAATAAGCATATGACCCCACAACACACTCTCTTATTCAACATTGAACTATGCCAACAGAATTAGAAAAGCCTATTTGTTAAATACAAAATTAAGTATAATGGACAAGGCAAAAGATTTATTAATATAGGCTGAATTCGCCAAACAACATAAAATTTGGTAACTTCTTGTCCAATATTTATTTTTTGCTTAATTAACTATTAAATTAGCACATTATTTTAAACCAATCAAAACTTTTTTTTCTTACAAACTTTGATAGTGTGTGAATAGTGCATACTACACCAACATAAAATAATAATTTTTTCTTTTTTATAAGGATGAGGTGGAGACTAGAAGGAACAAGGAGTCACAACAGCCAATATAGGAGACCTCTTGTGGACTGTCAAACCAATAGCTTCACTCATGTCCAAATCCTCTCCTCTTGCTCCATTAGGGATAGCAAAATCAAACTTGTAAACAAGATTTGCCAATGCAAGCTCATCCACTGCCATGGCAAATTGAATTCCAGGACAACCCCTTCTCCCAGCACCAAATGGAATTAGCTCGAAGTCATGCCCTTTGAAATCTATTGAAGTATTCAAGAACCTCTCGGGCCTGAATTCCTCTGGCTCATCCCATGACAATGGGTCTCTCCCAATCGCCCAAGCACTTGTAATTACTTGTGTGCCAGCTGCAATGTCATACCCCATTAACTTGACATCTCGGGTTGATCTTCGAGGAACTAGCAATGGAATAGGAGGATGTAGGCACATAGTCTCTTTGATCATGGCTTTTAGGTATTGAATTTTCTTCAAGTCATTTTCTGTCACACCCCAAACCTGCCCCTAGCAGTTTGGGCATGACCTATGCAGAAACGGCACTTAAACCTGATATATAACATAGGGGCCTGAACGGAAGCATTGATATCATAAGATAATATATAGGAAAGTATGACATCCATTGAGCTACTATTACCATGCCATGATCACATTGCAAAAAAGAGACACACATTTGAGAACTAGTTATAAGCATATATAGATCCAGCCCCAAGGTTAGGCGTAACAAAACATTATGTACATTTATCCTAAGTCAATAACTAGAATGCAAGCCATCGTCTAGCAAAACATCACAAAAATGTACAGCTTCGACCAAGTGCCTGGTTATGCTTAGGCTGACAAAAGTTTGACGATGACAGGGCTAGGACCGACTCCCAGGTTGGTTACCTACAGAAACAGACATAACATAGAGTGAGCCAGGCTTAGTGAACAATAGTACTTAAATGCGTCAATATTCAATTTAAATTGTAACACATTTAAAAGCGTAAGTAATGATTTCTTTCTTTAAACTAAATCGGCTTCCCTACGTAATAATATTATTCGGCTCCCACAATTGCCCCCCAAACATCCTATTAATGTCAGTTATTCGGCATGTTATGATGCAGTGAGGGTTGAGATTTTAGTTATCAGATTCAAACTTGCATCATTTTACCTTGTCACTTAATTTGTTTTTAAATAGATAAGATGGAATGTGAAGATTTAAATTCTGTTGGTGGTGTTATAATAATTATGGCAATGCTTCTCTAGTCTATTATACGTGGTCAAATTGTTTCATTTAAAGGGATGAATTGATTAATTCTCTCCATTTTATTGGCAACTTCAAAGATCGTTCTCTTACCATTTCAAAATTTGAGCAATTTAATAGAATGCTCACTATCACTATACAACCCATGTCTGAAAACTTATGGGTTCCTGCCGTTGATCTGTTTCATACTTTTGTTTATCATTTGGCATGCATTTCTATGTATATAAATACATTTTCTGCCTCATCTCAGTACCTGCCATAAATTTTTGTCATATTCATGTCCTTAAGAAAGCATAGTCTTTTTTTTTCCTTCAATTTTTTGTTCTTTCACTTGGAAAACTGTCTTCTTCTCATGGTTTTTTTTGCTATGCAAGTCCATGTTTACAATTTTATGACTTGTCAAGGTATAGATGTAACTAGGCATGCTTACATCCTACAATTTGTGAACAGGATTTTACTGAAGATGTGTAAAGAGATGGCAAAAATATCTATCAAACATCTAAAACCAAATGATTGTATTTGTGTTTCAAGTCATTTAGGATCATATAAAAGATGAGAATGAAAATCTCAAAACATATTACGAGGTTTGAAATGTTGTTTTTGTTCTAGCAATTATGTTCACTCATTTAGATGTTATATCTCCTTTTTGATGATGTTATATGAGCCAGTCTACTGCATCAATTATATTCACAATTGACATATATATATATATATATTCATTATCTTATTTGTTCTTTATAGCTAATTGTGAAGGAAATAAATTATGTTGTGCAACCTGGTCAAGGCCCAACTAAGAAGTTTCACAAGTCGAAGAAGAGGAATGACTGGATTGATCCTCGATGCACTGACCTACATGTAAGAATTTAACAATAGAATGACATTGAGACCCTCTTCTACCATATCCGAAGCTACATCAAGAGCACGTGATAAGAAAATGGAGATCTTGATATGTTTTGTTAATTAAGATTTTATTTAGTTTGAATTTTAATTGTTGGTTTGGATAGTATATATATTGTTGGATTATACTATGTTTATGGATTCTTTTTTTCTTTGATATGTATGGTTAATAGTTAAGTTTTGTATATGGTTGAAAATTGAATGCTACAGGTTGTGGAGAAATATTTTTATTGAATGGTTGAAAATTGAATCAATGAATGAATGGATGAATAATTTTGTATATGCACAGGTTATAGGTGATGCAAAAAATATTACAGAACAAATTATAAAAACTAAATGAGACATTTTGGCAACTAAACAAATATCACAGTTGGTTTTTGGCTACTAAAATTTTAGTCGCCAATTGTCAAAAGTGAAACTTTTGGCTTTTAGTCGCCAATTGTAAAATGAAAATTTTTGGCTACTAAATTTTTAGTCGCCAATTCTCAAAAAGTGAAACTTTTGGCTATCAAATAGTTAGTCGCCAAACATACATGCTCAATTGGTTACTAAATAATTTAGTCGCTAAAAATAAAAAATATATACATATAATTATTTTTAAAAATATATGGCGACTAAAGTTTTAGTCGTCGATAGATCACTTTTGGTTACTAAAAAAATTTTACTCACCGACTGTCTTTCCCATTGAACTATTGGCGACCAAATATATTAGTCACCAAAAGTAATTTTGGCGACTAAAATTTAGTCGCCAAAAGTGAAATTTCTTGTAATGTTACCTATTTAAATACACAATCAAATACTATATTAGACAATTTACACTCTATAATCAAACGGGTGGAGATATGGTTTGGAAATACTTTTTGGATCCTGTAGGACGCTCTTGATCCTCAGCTAGTTGCTTGAAAAGGATTGAACACTCCGGTCAGGAGTGTCGGGATTAGCACTCCGACGAATAGATCAGTGTATACTCTCTTGGTCGCTCTTGTCGCAAGTCAATCTTATTTTTTCTCACTTCCCTTTTCTTAGCTGATGCTCCTCTTATATATAGTCGTCCTTGACATTAATGGTTGGGCCTACCTTTCGACCAACAAATAATTGGTTATTCGGTTATTCTGTCCTACCTATTCGTACACAGCCCAGCTTACAGCTGATTCTATGGTCGATCTGGTTATTCAGCCTCTGTCCCTCCAAGATAGAGCCATATAGTACATAACTTGATTTCTTTCTTTAAACTAAATCGGCTTCCCTACGTAATAATATTATTCGGCTCCCACAATTGCCCCCCAAACATTGTATTAATGTTAGTTATTTGGCATGTTTGGTCTTGGACTTAGAGGGTCAAAAAACACGGCGGTTTCCCTTATTCCAATGCAAGCATCAGAACGGCTACTCTTTTTAGGAATGATTATAATCTCCCGCCCCTTCGTATGTTTCATTCATTTAATATGATTTGAAACAGTGTTGTCTCTTTGTTTGTATGCTTTTTGAATACACAAGGTTTCTCGTTGCCTGTCAGTTCACCTCCATTGCTTCACGTCCTCTGCAACTTCTTTCCGTTGTTCATTGTCCTCCTCATTTCTTGTAAGTTTTTCTCTCCCCCATTTTGACTCTTATTTCCTTGTTTGTTTTCTGTTTAGAGTGTCCACTTTACTGGCTATGACGGCGAAACATTTGAGAGCCTTTCTTTTTGCGGATCAAGTCTCTGGTTTCCGTCGTCATTTTTCCATACCTGCCGACGTCCATCTGTCACTCTTGGCAAAGAACGTAGTTGACACAGAGAGGACTGATAAGAGTACAATCGTCTTCCCCCTCCTGTCAATCGTTGAGGACGGAGTCTATTTCCCCCTTCATCCATTTTTTAGGGCTGTCCTTCACCATTGGGGTTCGATCCCTTCTCAGCCGAACATAAATTTTTACCGAATAATAATGGGAATATTAGAACTAAACCGACGCCTTGGGCTTAACCTTGGAATCCCTGCTATTCGGTATTGTTATTCCTTGGCCAAATCCTCTGGTCGGCAGAGGCGCTACTTCCTCAGGGCCAAGGACACCGACCATCATTTGGTGACTATGCTTGCCAATTCTGGCAAGCGTGTTGATTATGTCATGGTCGTTATCCGCGGCACCTGGGAATTCAGCGAGGGCAGAGATCGCCTAGATCTAGTGCCAGGCAAAGAGGTGAACCAGGTGGCCGTTTAACCCTCTACGAATTTTTATTAAGTATTTACCTGGTTCAAATTCTATGTATTTACCGTTTTATTTGCGTAGGAAATGATTTGAAAAAAGTTCTTGTCTCGACTGACGACGTTATACTTGCACAGATCAGAACCGTACTCTAGTTCTTTGGCCGTCCGAATCTCCAAAAGCAAAGGAGGACGACCCACATTCTTCTGAGATACGAGCTGACTTATGCTACTTTTTTGGTGGCAGATAATATTCCGATTCCGAGGGGTGAATAGCACCTTACGGCGCTTATTTTTCCGAGCTTCAAGAACCTAGGCAAATTGGTCTTGAAGCTTCAGATTCAGAGCCAGCGGACAAACAAGCAGTCGAAGGAGTCGCGAGCAGTCAAATACCCTCCTTGGACAGATTCGACGGACTAGAGGAGGAGGTTGACGCAACACTAAATTTGGCTTTTAAGAGCCGACCTCAATCCTCCATCCACTTCTGGCAGAGCAGATGTGTCCTTCGAAGATATTTTCACTGACTTAGGGACCTACCCAGCTTATATCCTGACAACATGGCTAGAGAATCGCTTAGTCAAATGGCCAGCAAAAAAATGGCGAGAGGATGGCTGCTCGTAGGAGAGCCAAGCCGAGCGAACTGAACCTCCACCTCCCCACCCGATGCTAGGGCAGAATCTCCTCTACCTTCTCCTGTTGAGAAGATGGTTCAGACTGATGTGGCCGAAACAGAACTGTTGTCAATAACAGGAGCGTCAATTGACGAAGCATAGGGAAAAAAAACATCCGGCCAAACACGAAGCTGATTATTCGGAAAACCTAGTAGATAAACAACCAACCGTTGAAGAATTAGACCTGGTTGTGCCGTTTACAATACAACCAAGGATAAAAAACGTGCGGTGCTTCTGATGCATCGGCTGTACAAGACGCCGCTGTGGCCTTGAGCTTGGCCTCCTCCATTTCTCTGCCGGTTGATAGAGCAACCTTTAGGGCAGAGCCCGATCTGCTGTCCATCGCATTAGCCGCTCAATCGGCGATATTGGTACATGATCTTGTTTATAATTTTGCAAGGCTAAAAAAAAGAAATTTTTTTTATATCAGCTAACTTACTGATTCCTTGTTTTGTAGGTGGCGGGAAGGATAGCTGAGATTGGTCGTCGCCAACATGACGCTATCGAACATATCGGCTTTCTCACTGTCGAGGTAGCAAACGAAAAGGGCAAGGCAGCAGAGGCCTCTCTTAGAGCCGAGTCTGAGGTCATGAAAGCAGTAGAAGAAAAAGCGCGGGCCGATGCCAAAGCAGATAAGGCCAAGACTGTTGACCAACTGAGATTGGCCGTCGAAGAAAGGGCGAACGCTAGCGAAGAAGAGGGCAATGGCGAGCGCCGAATCCGAGATTTCCAAGTCATTCCAAGTTGGCAAAGATCCGGCCTTAGAGAACTATGTCGAAGAAGTGCCCAAGTTCGAGAATAGGGGGTTCAAACACTGCTAGCTCAAAGCCTTAGCTGCCACTAACGTGGTATCGGAGCAGTCGATTCCGTATGAGCTGGTAGACGTTGAGCCGCTGGAGTCTGACCCTGAAAACTAACCTAGGGTCAAAGTATATTTCATTTTGTTTTGTTATCGTGTGTATGTAGGTTTTGTTAGATTTGTTAAATTTTTGACTATTTATTTTTGTGAGAAGCTATCGTAGGGTAGTTTTCATTTGTAAAGTGACTTCTATTTGTACTCAGTTTATGAATGAAAATTGCCTTTGCCTTTGCCTTTCTGCCTGACGCATGTGCTTGTTAATCGGCTAAGGAAGATGTAAAAACATGAATGGAACAAACTACTAAATTAATCCAGCGCTAAAATAACTGCATAGTACTATGACTTAGCCGAATATATTAATGAATATGTTCTTGCCCCAGTAAATTGATGAACAGGACCGCCGAACGACAGTTCACGGATTGGCTGGGGCACAGGAACATTTCGGCGCATAGCCCTGATATTTAGGCCGAATAGATTAATGAATCTACCCTTGCCGCAGCAAATTGATGAACAAGACTGCCGAACAACGGTAGCTCAGGGATTGGCTAGGGCAGAATAACATTTCGGCACACTCTGATACTTATGCCGAATAGATTAATGAATCTGCCCTTCCCCCAGCAAATTGATGAAGAGGATCGCCGAACAGCAGTTCACAGATTGGCTGGGGCACAGGAACATTTTGGCACATAGCCCTGATATTTAGGCCGAATAGATTAATGAATCTGCATTTGCGCCAACAAATTGTTGAATAGGACTGCCGAACAGCAGCAACTCAGGGATTGGCTAGGACAAAATAACATTTCGCCGCACTCTGATACTTACGTCGAATAGATTAATGAATCTGCCCTTGCCCCAGCAAATTGATGAACAGGACCACCGAACAGCGGCAGCTCAGGGATTGGCTGGGGCAGAATAACATTTCAACGCACTCTGATACTTACGCGGAATAGATTAATAAATCTACCCTTGCCCCAGCAAATTGATGAACAGGACCGCCAAGCAACGGCAGTTCACGGCGCGGAGCATTGAAGGGAACGCTTTGGGAATGCTGCACCCGCAATGAATGAGATGGGTGGGGGCTGCGTTCGTTTATGGTCCATATTGGTGTCCAAAGTTGGCAGATCACAAGAGGGAGAAGAGAAGTGGGTTTGAACTAGATGTCTAGAAGACTATTCTTCAACAGCAGAGGAGAGGGTAAGACACTGGCTGAGTTGGATTCAGCGATGAATTGAGGTGGTGAACCGTTGCGAATGGGAAGCAGGGGAATTCCCCTCGCTCGCGAAGTGAGACCAGTGGGGCACCACGCTCGTTGAGCTTTTCAGTCTTCATGGGGAACAAACAGATGGCAGAGGCAGATTCGATCATCCACGATCCAAACGTGGCAGTTGAATTCGCCCGACAAATTTTTCCGGT